CCTTCACTCAGGCTGCAGTGCTCTGCATGAACAAACTGGAGTTAATGCTCATCGCACTGATGATGAAGAATCCGCCCTGTGCTGATTATGGAGACGGAGCTGACGACTATCTACTAATTAATCCATCCACCTCCTCGACTCTCATCACGGAGGGCATGCTGGGCTTCTTCATCTGCGACTCCCAGGAAATTGCCTCCCGAGCCACATTTTACTGTTCCAATTGCCACGACGACGTACGTAGACTTAAAAAAATGAAGGAATGCGAATGCAAGCATCGACATCGGGGCCTGAAGATTGGCAAAATAAAACGGAAGCATCAGGAGACTCCACTGACTCCACTGGGGGAGAGTGAAACCTCAAGCCAAACATCAGCCAATCCGCTAGTAGAAAGCGAACATTCTTCTCCTGCAAAGTCTTCTGACTCTAAAAAGAAGGCAGACGATGCAGACGACGATGGAAACAGTGGAGGAGCACCGAATATGTCCTTGTTCGACATCACTGGTAAAAATTATCAAATTGCTCTCTTCTACAATTTTTCCTAAAAGAAACATTGGTTTTTCCATCTAATGAGGGAGGAGTCTCAGAGGCCGTGAAACTACCTGAGTATAATTTGTCGTCTGACCCTATTATTTTGATTTAGCTCTTTCTTGAAAAGTCAAGTCAGTAAACGGATGCTTTTGCTAATTTATCATCAGGTCTGTACCGTTACACATATAATAATAATACGAAAGGTCGTAAGGGTTCATAGATGTCTAATGGTTAATACTCATCGCTCCCAAGTCGCCCACACGGCAAGGATGTTGTTGAGGGAGTAAGGAAAAGTGTGAGCAATGTTCGTAGGTCAAGTATGGAGAGTGAACATTACTGTCATGTACCTTGAGTAAACTGCTGTCATCAGGGAGCTGAGGGAGCGTGTACTCATCACTTGACGTCCGTATCGAGCACTGAAGACAGAGCACCGGTACTAGCGTCTTCTGACTACACAATGCTGGATTCGCTTTCCGTTTAGCCATTGCCTCGTCTGCTGCTAGCACCCATTGACGGAGACCTTTTTTGGGCAGGAGTTTCCTTGGTAGTGGTCTTGGATACAACAAGCCGTAGGTTGTTTTCATACGGTAACCATGAGAAGGTTTTTTTAAGTTGATAAGACGGATTTACCAAAAAAGGATTTTGTGAAAATAAGAAAAAATAGTCGTTAAATTTTGTTGAAATAATTTAATACGGTGGCTATAGGCCGACGGCGTTGGG